GAAGGAAAACATTCCCATTTGACTTCTATGTTTATTGTCTCTAGAAAATAGAATAGTTGTTCTTGGTTGTTATGGATGCTATTGGTATTGTGGGGTGGAAACCTCCTTGAACTATAGAATATGGTACCGTTCTGCTGTCATGCAAGTACTGTAAAAGTCAGACACGAAGAGAGCATAAACATTGCTGTTATGTTTATTGTTGTTTCCAGCTGTATAGGAAGAATTGCCATTTATAAAGGCTTACATCCCACTCAGCCCACTACACGTCTATGGCTTTACACTCCATTCATCCCCCAAAAATTAACTATAGCCTGGGGACATGACCTTCTTCAACCTGGGGAAGTACAAAACTCTCCCATTCTTTCATTAATCAGCCTAGCAGGTCTCTGGTAAGGCCAGGTATCCCACATGGCAACCACAGAGCTCTCTCATGATGATAAAAGCAACCCTTCTGTGACTCTGCGGACAGATCCTGTTGCACCCATAGATGCCCACACTCCCTCCCATCTCTCTGCAAGTAGCCTTAGCACAACCTTACTTTAACCCATCACGTTGCAGCTAGATTGATTCTGACAGCTATTTAGTGACCATATCTCCTGCATCGCTGTATCCTTGTGATGGGCAACAACATTGGTATCACTGTCCTCCCTCTTTTTGGAAGGGTGAAGACCTTTCCTACATTTTCTCAGTAGCCTCTGTGACTAAGGCACTTGCTCTAGAAGCGGGGAACTTGGCTCCTAGGCATAACAAATCCTGAGGAGCTTTAGACCTGCTATTTCCCACCTCAGAGGCATAAACAGGAAGTTTTCCACCCTGGGTGTTGCTGGTGCTGGGACCAGTGCTGGCAGCCAGGCTGGAGCGGCTGCCACTCTTGTGCCTCCTCCACGTTGGTGCCTGAGACAGTGCCCTACTAACCTACCCGCAGATAGACTTCTGTCCTTCCTGCCCACACAATCCTTTTAACTTCCTGCCCTGGGATTGACAGTGCTGGAAAACTCGATTATGCTTTCAGGTTAAATTGGGCCACTGTGCAGCCAAAACAAATGACTTATGGGCCCAACACAAGAGGAAGTCCACCGAGCTAGGGATTTCTGTCCCCTGTCTCCAAAGAGTTTATGCATTTTGTATTCAGTACACATGAAGTAAAGCCTTGGGGTTGCAAGATGCAGAACCCAGAGCTTTCTCATTCCAGGAGTAGTGCCCACCCTGCCAGGATCAGCATCCCCTTCTTATTTGTTTGCTGTTCACCCAGAATTATTCCATCCATAGTGGGAAAAGCCTTGCAACGTCCATACGTGAGACTAGAAGCAAGAACAGAGTGAGTGAACAGCTTGTGTGTCCATTCTTAGTGATTGAACTTGGATTACCACCTTGTTCCCAGGAACCCAATAGGATGTGGCAGTCAAAAGATTGCTCAGCCTCCAACACTGAGAACCCCTCTCCGTGACTTTTCATTAGCGCCATGCAAAATGTTGCTGGCTGCTGTGTTTTGGCGCTGTTTCAACTTGCTTTGAGCTTGAATGAGTGAAACTGAAACGAAGCAAAGGGCTTCGAAATAGCCTCAAAATGAAACAAGGGCAGTCAAAACATTTTTAAACTTTAGAAATGTTTTGAGTTTCAAAGCTGAAGCTGGGCTTGCCAGCAGGAAAACAGAAAGTAAGGAGAGGGAGGGGGAATAGGGAAGAAAGACTGCTCCGATCCTGACTCTGACTGTTTGGCTGCCTGGGATGCTGCTGGTGCTACTGTGCTGCTTACTGACTTATTGCCTGTTGTTATTTCAAGTAGTGAACTGGACTGTGCTGTTTACTAACTTATTGCCTGTTGTCATTTAAAGTGGTGGACCGGATTGAGACTGTAGGGGAGGAGGAGACCTCATTGGGGCACACTACTATGTCATGTAGAGGCCCCAGCACCAATGAGGGCACGCCTTGATACACACACACATACACACACACACGTCACAAGTTTTGCTTGATAGCAGTTTGAGGTTCAGTTTCCCAGAAACCTTGCACCTATCTCCTTGAAACCTGGCAGTCTTCATGGCCTCAGCAGGGGCCACCGTGCCTGCAATTTTCACCCTGCCCTGTGCCTTCACACTTACAAATTACATGAGTTTTGCTTTCAAGATTTTGAGGTGCAGTTTCCCAGAAAACCTTACATCTATCTCCTTGAAACTTGGGAGGCTTCATGCTCTCAGAAGGGGCTACCATCTTTGCAAAGTTATAGGCAGTTTTGTGCTTCTGCATTATTGTCTATGGGGGAAACATAGAAACAGGGTCGAAACAGCAAAACAGTTTCGACAAAATGAAACAGAACAGCGATTTCAAAATGAAATGAAATGAAACTTGAAACACTGTCCCATTGAAATGGTGAAATGGAAGTCGAAACGAAATGGTGCTGTTTCACACAGCCCTACTTTTCAGTATGGGCTAGAAGAATAACACAAGATGCTGGGACATTTTTGGAGGTGAATCTCCCTCTTCTTGAACCCCAATCTCCACGCTGCTAGACTGCAGGAATTACTTGAAATGGCTTGTGTAGAATGACCTCAGGTACAACTGCCCCAATTGCAGTTCCCTCTCTGGTGGATTATGGAAGCTCACAGCTTCCCCACAAGGCATATAAAGTCTTTCCCTTTAGAAAGGCTTTTGATACGGTCTCCCACAAAATTCTTGCAAGCAAGTTAAGGAACTACACGTTGGATGTATGGACTGGAAAGTGGATAGTAAACTGGCTGCATTTCAGGCTCAGAGGGTAATAATCGATGGTTGAATGTCTAGTTGGCAGCCAGTATCAAGTGGAGCGCTGCAGGGGTTGTTTCAGAGTTTTGTTCAATTCCTTCATCAACAACCTGGGCGAGGGGATGGGGTGCACCCTCCGCAAGTTTGCAGAAGACTCCAAGCTGGCGGGGAGTAGTAGATGAACTGGAGGTTAGGGCTAGGAATTTGAGAGACCTCAACAAATTAGAGAATTGGACTAAAAGAAATCTCATGAGGTTCTATAAGGACAAGCACAAAGTCCTACACTTAGGACAGACAAATCCCATGCACTGGTACAGGCTGGGGACTGCTGGTTCATATTCAGCTTCCTGTCTACAGTAACCCCCATGTCCTTTTCTGCAGAGCTGCTGCTTAGCCAGCCAGTGTGCCCTTGTAGTGAAGAAGGAGAATGGCATACTGGGCTGCATTAGCAGGATCGCTGCCAGCAGACTGAGGGAAGTGATTCTTTGCCTCTATTCAGCCCTCGTGAGGTCACATCTTGGAGGACTGTGTCTAGTTTTGGGCCCGCACCACAGAAAGAATGTGGACAAACTGGAGAGAGCCCAGTGGAGAGCAACAGAAATGGTGAGAGGGCTGCGGCACATTGCTTCTGAGGAGAGGCTGAGAGAACTGGGCTTATTTAGTCATGAGAAGAGCAGACTGAAAGGAGATTTAATAGCATCCTTCAACTAACTTAAGGGTGGTTCTAAGGAGCATGGAGTTAGATGGTTCTCCATGGTGGCAAATGACAGAACAAGGGTTTGAATTCAGCCTGAATCAGTGACAGTGATTCGATTGGTTGGTTCAAATCACTGTCCCCGATTCGATTCAGCTGAATCCGAATCTGAAGACTTGATGCTGATTCGGAGAATCAGCAATTTGAACGTAGACACAGCTTTAAAAGTTTTTTCTACATTCCTTGAATTAGCATTCGCAGCTTATGATCTCTGGGATGGTGGGGTGCATGGAGCGTCCCACAGGAGCGCAGGGGAGCCCTCCACATGCTCGGCGGTGAACCCAGAAGTGGACCTAAAGTACTTCTGGTACAATTCCGGGTCTGCCGGGGAGCGCACAGGAGGCCCCCACTGCTCCCCCGCTAGCTCAGCAATCAACTGTGGAGGGACCCTGGGTGCCCCCCACAGAACGAGGAGGCACCGGTCACCAAATTGGACTGAATCTCTGCTGAATTGAATCAAGGACTGAAGCTTCACACAGCCCTAATATTTTGCATATCTTTTCGTACATCCAAAGTCATGACCACATCATTTTTAGAAAGGTTTCAATGGGCTAATCACTAGCACATTTCCAAAGTAGAGTTTACCTTTAATGTGATGCCTGCTACAAACACAATGACTATTCCTTCAAATTAGCTTAATTTTTTAAGGTAGTCTCTATTTATCCATAAATATCTAAGCAGACATGAATTTGGTGAACAACACACTAATGAATATACACAAACTAATACATATATATAGGTATAATACATATATATATATATATATATGTACTAATACATGTATATATGCATATACTAATATATATACACACAAAACTGGTAATAAGAACAATGTGAACCAGAAAAAAATTACAGCAATGGGTTTTAGAGAGCCAGACAGCTATAACATATTGAGTTTCAGTAGGACATGGGCTCTCTATTCCTATAGCTTTTCATTCAAGCCGGTAAAGAAATTTGCTTTCCCATGACAAATTCACACATTCTTGTGTCAGGACAGTATAATATGAGAAATCATGTGCCTAACACCAGTGTCAGTGCTTTTCCAGATTAGCAACTGTCAAGTCACATGGAAAGAATTTTTTTCCCCTTCTCCTCTTTTCAGTCATGTCTACAAGGAAAACTTTCTGAACAGATCAAAGTTGATTGGCAAAGCTCTGCAAGCCAGTTATGAATGCACTTTTGAGGAATGTGAATGGGAACTGAATAATGGATGTTGAAAGCTTGACCCTATTACAGTCGGTGGTGAAATTCTCAGTGGTCCCAGATTCCTTTTGGGAAGGCATGGTTTAATCATACATGAATAATTGGGTAGGTGAAAGTGATAACTGAGCACATTTCTATATCTTGTATTACAGAGATGGTGACACTAAAATTTCTACTGGTGCCTTCTGCCTTTGTAAAATCAAAAATATAGGTCTGTTGAAATGTAGTCCTTTACATCAATGTCTCACATTTCAGCACTGTACAAGTGGGAGGAATTCAGTGACGATCTATGTCCAGAGTATTCACGCCTTGGTTTTTACAATAGCCTTAGACCATTTAGAAAATACCTTACCCCTGAGGGCCTCTCTGACTTGCTTATTCCTGAGAGCATAGATGTAGGGGTTGAACAGCTGGGTCACCACTGAATAGAGGAAAGAAATATTTTTGTCAAAATCTCTCCCACCCCGCTGAGAGGGCCGGACATATCTGATGATGGAGGCGCTGTAAAATATGACAACCACTATGAGGTGAGCAGAGCAGGTGGAGAAAGCTTTCTTCTGGCTCGATGAAGAAGGGATGCGCATGATGGTGGCAATGATGCAGCCATAGGAAACAACAGACACTGATAAAGTTCCAAGTACAATAATTATAGCTGCAAAAAACACCAAGAGTTCAATGAGGTGTGTGTCTGTGCAGGAGAGCTGGAGCAATGGGGCCATGTCACAGTAGAAGTGGTTTATGAGGTTGGGCCCACAGAACGGCAATAAGACAATCATGACTGTGGGAGGAATGAGGATAAAGAAACCCACCACCCAACAGCACAGCACCAGCTGAACACAGCGCCTGCTGTTCATGATGGTGGCATAATGAAGTGGGTGGTAGATGGCCACGTAACGGTCAAGAGACATCAGAGCCAGATGGAAATATATAGAAGACCCTAAATAGAAGAACAACAATAATTGCATGAGGCAGCCATGGAGGGAAATAGCTTTTCTTGACATTAGGAGGCCGTAAAGGGTCCTGGGCATGAAGGTAGAGGTAAAGCAGACCTCCAGAAGGGAGAAACTCCGGAGGAAGAAGTACATCGGGGTTTGAAGCTGACGGTCAATCAGAGTGATTGTGATGACAGTGAAGTTTCCCAGTAAGATCAGGAGGAAGACGATGAGGAGAACTACAAAAAGAAGAATCTCTAAATGGTGGTCGCTGGTCAGACCCAAGAGGATGAACTCTGCTACTGTTGTATGGTTCATTGCTTCTTGCTTGCCTTCAGACAAAAAACACAACTGAAACCAGTTTGACAGCATAGCTACATTGTGAAAACAAGATATAAGCAGATAGTGTTTGAATACTGAGTGTTATAATAATTGGACTCAACATCCTGGATGAAGTTTTGTATATGCAACTCCTATGGGTATGGTAAAAACATGCCTCTGGAACCGCAGGCATGGATGAGGACAGATAGATAATTGATATATCATTGGAGGGAGTTGCATTTTGTGCAGATGAAGGGAGGAAAAGCCAAAGGAAGAAATATGCCCTCAAACTTTTATGCTTCAGTGTTCCTATTTCTACAACTGAAGGGGTCCATTTCAAACTATAAACCAGCATATAGTGTTGGACATAACCTTTTTCTTCTATGCTCCACCTCTTCTATTACATTTCACCCTATTCCTAGGCAATTTATCTAACAGCCCTGAATAAATACATTGTCTGAATCATCTTCCTAGGTCTCACTGTCAGTTGACACAACTACACAAATACTTTCATTCTGTTTAAAAGTGAATGCACTAGCTAATCGAAAAGCATGAGGGTGATAACAGTAAGCTTCAGCATGAAATGGGTGTTGAACAAAAACAATTGGAAACCTCCGTTTTCTTTCCTTGCAGAACAAGATGGATTTGGATCATGCAAAGGGAATAATTTGCCAGACAGAGTAACAGACAGGAAGCAGAAAGAGGGAGTAATTTGTGCTCTCACAAATTTTATCTTCTTTTTTTATAAGCCCCAGAATAGAACTTGGGAAGTTTGGATTGCAGCTGCCAGTTTGTTTCCACACCTATTTTTGCTCTCTTCTTCTGCATTACCCCCTATCTCCAAACCAGTCACAAAGTAATTGTTGCCTGCATCATTAGACTGTAACAATGACCGTTCTCTTACCCCGAAATGCTTACACATTGGGAAGATATTTTTCCCTGAACACATTTTGCTCTATATATTGTTCTTCAGTGCACAAGACTTCTTGTGGACTGAATTGAGGCATATTTTGTACAGGTAGGCTTTAAATACTCAGAAATTATGAGCTCATATCTTTTTCTCACCTAAGATAAAGCAACTCAAAGTCAATAGGGATGTTACTATGGTTTCCAGCTCTAGTTTCAAAGCACTGATGATAATAACCAAGTATATAAGGTGGTACTTACAGATGTGGAGATGTGGTCAGTGGGGGACGCAAACATTTGTCAGGACAACCGTCTGTGTTTTGAATCAGAGACAAGGATTTGCTTCTAGTGGGGTCCTACACTCAGATCTGGTCTCCTGCTTTTCTGTGGATGTTTCCAGGCTCCAATCTTGTCTTTGCTTTGACTCCATACCACAAGCAAGTCCATTCAGCCTAACAGCGACCCATATTGGGAAAGAGCTACCATTAGGTTGGGTTTTCTGTCATTATTGTGGGATTACTACTGGTTTAAAAGTGGAGACAGCTGACATGGTTTCTGCTCCAAAATCCCTGAAAAGAGCTTCCCCCTCCCTTTTATCCATTCATTCTTGCAGTCCAGCAGCATGTGTCCGTCTAAGCTGAAAGAAAAGCTCATCAATCTCTCAGTATCTGCAGACCTATGCTATTTTTCAATCTCGAATTTATTCTGAAATCTCGGCACTAATATGCAATGGAATTGGTGTATTCTCCCTGACGTCTGCTTCTCATCACTTTTTCACTCTTCTTTTCTGCTTCCAGTCCATTTTCATTATCAACAAAATATATTTGCCTGTAGTTCATTACCAAGAATCAGAACTTGTTGCAACACAGGTGATGTTGGTGTATTATTCTCAGTCCCAGAACACCAACTGGACTACTCTAATCTAATCCCCAAATGTTTGTTATATTGTGCGGTTTGTAGGTCAGCAGCATTTTAGTCTCCCACCACAGAACTCAAGCCCTATGCCTAAGTCAGACCCTGTTAGGATGAAAACTGTAGAAACGCAGGCAAAACTAGACAGAATGTAGACCCTCTTCCACAGCAGCTACAGGACTCAGACGCTTTCATTTAGATGGGTGGATTGATGCCTCCATACAGGACGCAGAAAAATTATGTGGTTCCTCTCAGCAAACAACTCCTCCTTGCTTCGGGTCCTGTTTATAAGACTTGTGATATACAAGTGCCTCCCTCACATTGTCTCTGTCCCTGGAGAAAAACCAGGCAACACAGTTTTCAGAAGACTTTCTAAACAAAAAAAAAAAAGACCCTTTTGACTTTTCCCCCACAGGAAGACATTACTAATTTTTTGGCCACTTGAGTTCCAAAATCTCTTGCTAAAACTTTCCTCCTCAAGCAAGGCCAATTGGATAGTTCAATGGAAAGCAACCCAGATGACCTGAGGTTTATTCCTGTCTCTCTCCTTGGACTGCTTGATGCCCTGAACCAGAAGAACTATGTAAAAACTGCAACTTCATTATGATTGCCACCATTTTTGGAGGAAAGGTGCATCAGTAGGGTTTGAGCATAGGGCATGGGGGTGCAGCCCCTGAATCAGCACTGCCTTATATACCACTGATTTCTGGAAAATGGCACTGGGAGAGGAAGAGGGCATGGAGAATTCTGCATGTGTCCTGTTCACCTGCCCCCCAGCATCCCCACTGTGTGAGACGACACTAAGCTAGATGACCAACCAGTAGTCTGGTCCAGTGAATAATAGGTCTTATGTTCCACTCTTAAAATCTGAAGCTAAGCAGACTTTTGAAAAAAAAGGTATCATGACCATATTTGAGTGTTAACTTTTATCATCCTTTGTATCATTTCTTTTATTTTATTTTGAATCATAACTTCTGTGGTTTCTCTTACAGCTTATACATCCTTCCATGTATTCGGTTTAAAAACCCACACTGAAACCAGACTTCAAACCTTTATTTGTCCTTTTTTGCCTTCTGGTAATTAAAACATCCGGACCCCATACTTGGCTTAAGGGTCTCAACAGGGCAATTCTAAAAGTATCTATAGTAAATTTCTAATAAGGTAGAGCTCAGCATAATTATAAAGCATTCTGAAAATGCAGTTCATGCAGATACAGCTTAGCATTAGCCAAAGGAAAGCCCTATAACTGTAGGGATACTTAAGCATGCAGAATTATGATGAGCATATGACTATACATTAATGTACACACATAGATAACAGTGGCATTAAGAGGCAGGAAATGAGAAAGTGATAGAGAACCGGAAACCCCTCCACCCTAAAGGAAGGGATAGAAACACAAAATTTCCCCTTCCAGTGAGACTGAACTAAACACCCTATGGCCAAGTCAGGTTCAGTCTCTGCCTCCCTGGAGATGACCCAGTTCTACTCAAGTTCTCTTGAAGGACACTTGCCAGACTGTAGTGTTTGCATCTTGGCCTATAAGCTTCAAAACCCTTCATATCCTGAATATTGTCCCAGCACTGTCTCCAGTTCTGGGCTCCAAGGAACACTCCTGGAAGGCCGGGTTCCTTTTCCTCATGGATTCCAATGAAGCCTAAGCCCACCCTTTCCTAGGCTTCTTGTTTTGGGGGCTCTCTGTATTACACTTTCCCTTTTTGAAGTTGCATGGGGGAGGATCACTGTACGTACCTCCAAGGCTCATACTCAGCCACATAACTGCATTTTGGGACTCTTATGCACTGCACAGGATTCTGTTTCAGCCTGTGATGAAACAGCCACTCTGTGCACCTACCAGTGGGAAGTCAAATGGGGGAAGACAAGAAGAATCCACTCATGTTGTATCTCGGGATTCTTGAGCGTTTTGCATTAAAGAATCACTGGGCATGTCTACACGTTACCCTATATCATCCAAAAGGAAGGACTAAAGCACGGTGAAGTAACAGCATCGCCATAGGACAATGTGTAGATGCTCCCACTGAGTAAAAACCTTCGATAGCAGAGGCAAGAACCCAAAGTTCCTACTTGCTAATGTCTATAACCATTGCAATGGGCCCTGGAATCAGGGACCCTTTTCTTTATTCCACGTCCCTGGCCCATGTTGCCATCCTCCCTGATGTAAAGGGCCATATAAAGTAAAAAAAAAAGAAGGGAAGAGGGGCCAAAGAAGAGAAGACGTAGGTCTGGACCGTGCAACAAAATGTAGAAGAATTATACTCCAAAATACTCAAATCAGAAAGGTATTCAAAATACCACTTTCCCTCCAATACTGGGAACATTTACCAGTGACTGGTGTAGTAAAGCCAAACCCAAACTGGCTTTCAAACTGCTAGCTCAGATGCTGGTAGTAGAGTACCAAGAGCAAAAAAAGGCTGGGTGTGATCATATAACCCCTCTGCAAAGCTGAGAGAGTATGGAGGAAATGAAAGCAACCTATGCTTCATTATGTGATAGCCACATTACAGTGACTAAATGATGGATCATAAAAAACAGGGGCTTGATATATTCTCCATCTCTTGATGCTCTTGCATGAAAATTAGATGCATTGATGGGAGAAGGCCTTTCACAAGGCAAAAATATTTTGGCACAATGCTGGAGTAACCGGGGCATACTAGATGGCCTATATTATACCAGAACTCAGAATGAATGGTTTCATGTTTTTCTTTCCATAATGTCTATGAATATATAAAAATGGATATACAGATTCCAATTCTTCCCAATAAAGAAGATAACTCAAGTCCCATATTCATTGAATGTAACATTTTCCATGGTGGCAGTGACAGTTCAGGTGGACTCAAATCCTGCAGTGTTGAATGCTCCTACCTTATGAAAACTGCATTTTAGAAAACCTCCTATTCCAGGCATCTTTCAGGGCCTCTTTCACCTGCTTGTTCCTCAGTGAGTAGATGTAGGGATTAAAGACTTGGGTCACCACCGTATAAAAAAGTGAAATGTTTTTGTCAAACTTCTGGCCACCCCTCTGAGTTGGTCGAATGTACCTGAAGATGGAGGTGCCATACAAAATGGCAACCACCATGAGGTGAGCGGAGCAGGTGGAGAAGGCTCTTTTCCTGCTGGTGGAAGAGGGCATATGCAGAATGGTAGAAATGATATGACTATAG